TCAAGCTCCCTCGTCATAAGAAACGTGTAGCCACCTAGAGAACTAGCTTGCCTTTAGCGTATACTTCTGTTAAGAGCTGTATACATTTTTATTTCGAACATCCATTGCTTAATTAGATGTTGAAGAAATCTACATGCATGTATATTTGCCAAACACGTATCGGTGATTTACGGATTACAGTTTTTACACAGAATTCATGTAAATACGATCATTGTTTGCTTATGTACTAATTCTCTGTCACTCGGAATCGAGTATGACGATCATCCAGCTATGAGACAGTGAAATGAGTTATTAGGGATGCCACCTTCGTTGGTGAGCGCTGAGGTGACTCGAGAGGCCGACACGGGACCGGTGTAGCATGGGGAAAGTGGGGTGTGTGTGATCGTTTAACGGATTGAAATGGTGAAAAAGTCTGAGCACTTGTGAAGGGAGTGCAACAAATGAGAACTATGCTTATATATATATATATATATATATATATATATATATATATATATATATATATATATATATATATATATATATATATATATATATATATACAACAAAGAAGTATGTCTGTGTGTTTGTTTGTTTGTGTGTCCGCACGAGAATCTCGGAACTACTTTACCGATCTGTAGATGGATGGTGGATGGTGTTATATGTAGTGATGATGGCTGGTGTTATATGTAGTGATGATGGGTAATGTTATATGTAGTGATGATGGATGTTGTTATATGTAGTGATGATGGGTGGTGTTATATGTAGTGATGATGGATGGTGTTATATGTAGTGATGATGGATGGTGTTATATGTAGTGATGATGGATGATGTTATATGTAGTGATGGTGGATGGTGTTATATGTAGTGATGATGGATGATGTTATATGTAGTGATGGTGGGTGGTGTTATATGTAGTGATGATGGGTGGTGTTATATGTAGTGATGATGGATGGTGTTATATGTAGTGATGATGGATGGTGTTATATGTAGTGATGATGGATGATGTTATATGTAGTGATGGTGGGTGGTGTTATATGTAGTGATGATCTATCTATCTATATAAAACAAAGAAGTATGTCTGTTTGTTTGTGTGTGTCCGCACGAGAATCTCGGAAACTACTTTACCGATCTGTAGTGATGGGATGGTGTTATATGTAGTGATGATGGATGGTGTTATATGTAGTGATGATGGATGGTGTTATATGTAGTGATGATGGGTGGTATTATATGTAGTGATGATGGATTATATGTAGTGATGATGGATGGTGTTATATGTAGTGATGATGGGTGGTGTTATATGGTGATGATGGATGGTGTTATATGTAGTGATGATAGATGATGTTATATGTAGTGATGATGGATGGTGTTATATGTAGTGATGATGGATGGTGTTATATGTAGTGATGATGGATGGTGTTATATGTAGTGATGATGGATGGTGTTATATGTAGTGATGATGGATGGTGTTATATGTAGTGATGATGGATGGTGTTATATGTAGTGATGATGGATGGTGTTATATGTAGTGATGATGGATGGTGTTATATGTAGTGATGATGGATGGTGTTATATGTAGTGATGATGGATGGTGTTATATGTAGTGATGATGGGTGGTGTTATATGTAGTGATGATGGATGGTGTTATATGTAGTGATGATGGATGGTGTTATATGTAGTGATGATGGATGATGTTATATGTAGTGATGATGGGTGGTATTATATGTAGTGTTGATCTATATCTATATAAAACAAAGAAGTCTGTCTGTTTGTCTGTGTGTCCGCACGAGAGTCTCGGAAACTACTTTACCGATCTGTAGTGATAATGGATGGTGTTATATGTAGTGATGATGGATGATGTTATATATAGAATATGAAAAGTATCCCTCTGTTGTCATTGGCAACATGGATAAGAAATGTGAATACTGCGGTGCAAAGAAGTACAAAGGAGAATCTACAGGACTGTGCTGCTCTCATGAGAAAGTACGACTGCCAAATTGGAAAAACCACCACAACCATTGAAGACTCTCACGCTGGGAACAACACCAGAGTCAAAATACTTCTTGGAAAACATACAGAAGTACAATTCATGCTTCCAGATGACAACCTTTGGAGCTACCAGAGTAGTTCGTGAGCACGGGTACATGCCCACATTCAAAGTCCAGGGTCAAGTCTACCACAAAGCAGGATCCCTCTTATCACTGGAAGATGAGCAGGCAAAGTTCCTCCAAATCTACTTCATGGGAGATAATGAAAAGCAGACTACTATCAGGTGTGGCAACAGTCAAGGTGTCAGACATGACATTGTCCTATCTATCCAAGAAATGCTGCATGAGCGCAACATGCATGTACAGTCATTTAAAAATACCCTGGAAAACATGCCTTCTGACGAGTACAAAGTCTGGATCAAAGCAGACACCTCAATGCACTACAGTGAGACAATGTGGAGCCTCCGGGAGAGTGGTCGTCCTACCGTGGCCTAACGAAAGAGCCTCCCGGAGGGCGGCGATTCCGCTAGTATATACATAAAACAAAGAAGTATGTCTGTTTGTATGTGTGTTTGTTTTTGTGTATGCACGAGAATCTCGGAAATTACTTTACCGATCTGTAGTGATGATGGATAGTGTTATATGGAGTGATGATGGATGGTGTTATATGTAGTGATGATGGGTGGTGTTATATGTAGTGATGATGAGTGGTTTTATATGTAATGATGATGCATAGTGTTATATGTAGTGATGATGGGTGGTGTTATATGTAGTGATGATGGATGGTGTTATATGTAGTGATGATGGATGGTGTTGTAGTGGACTTCTCCCCTACAACTGCGTAGCCACAGCCACCAGCTGCTACCGCGGTATCCTAGCAACCGAGCCAAAGACCGGTTACTTCTCGGGTTTTCCCAACATGACTCATAGCGGCTGCTGGGTATATAAGCTCTGTCTCTCCATTGAGATTGATTCTGACCATCTTCTACAACAAGCAACACCTCCTCCTCCGCCGCTGCCTGGCGGCCTTCGCTTCTCGCCTGCCTGGCGGTCCTCGCTCCCGCCAGCGAGCATGGCGATCCACCAGCTGTCCTTCTCTGAGCTTCCTCACCAACCAACTCTCATTCTGCCCATCTTCCTGAACAAGCAACACCTCCTCCAGCAAGCTCCACGCTGTCAGCATTCATTCAACCAGGAGGCCAGCAACAGGCAACATCTTCTCTAACGAAGCTCCTGCACATCTACCTCCTTCAACACGCTACTCACCGAACGTCTCTACTGAGCAGCCCCTCACCACACGGCACCTCCAGCACCAGACTGTCTATCATAACTTATATTATACAAGAAAACCACATTAGAGTTTCCTTCCATCCTGAGTGCTAGACAACATTTTACCACGAACTCCTACAGTGTTATATTTAGTGATGATGGATGATGTTATATGTAGTGATGATGGGTGGTGTTATATGTATTGATGATTATGCAATAAAATAATAACAGTTTAATGCTAAAAAAATATACTTTGCTTTAGCGTTGTAGTGAAAAACCTAAACTTATCCAACTTAAATCCGTTGCTACGAGTCCTATCCTGCTCGGATATTATAAGAACTTTATCTATATCACCTTTATTGATTCCTTTCACCCACTTGAATATTTAAATCATATCTCCCCGAAATCTTCGTCTTTCTAGGAAATGCAAGTTTAGTTTATCTAAGTAGTAGTAGTGTGTGTGTGTGTGTGTCCAGGTCAGGAACGGACATGAACAAACATCAACAGGTATTCATGAGTTAAAACAAATTATTTTAAATGACAAATTGCAATGGAGGCAAATGCAAAAAACAAACAAATAAGGTAACACTCTTAAAGATAATTCAGCTAATGATGATCAAGAAGACTCTGTGGTCCAGTTTGTAACACTCCGACAACTTTCTCCACAGCTCTGCAGCCTCCAACACGGCCTTACTACCTTCAAAACGGCCCTACTACCTCCAACACGGCCTTACTACACCCAACACGGTCCTACTACCCCCCAACACGGCCCTACTACTTCTAACACGGCCCTGCAACCTCCACCACAAACCCTGCAGCCTCCACCACGACCCTACGTCCATGATAATGACCAAGATGATGATTAGGTTGTCTAAACTGGTCCTGCTGGCCAGTGCTGCGGTGATCGCTTCCTTAAGCGTCATCACGTTGCGGGGGAACATACGAGGTAGATTAGATAAAGTTAGGTAAGATTATGTTATGTTATGTTAAGCTTCATTAGGTTATGTTGTTATGTTAAGCTTCATTATGTTATGTTATGTTATGTTATGTTAAGCTTCATTAGGTTAGGTAAGATTATATTATTTTGTTATGTTATGTTATGTTAAGCTTCATTAGGTTAGGTAAGATTATAATTAGTTTATTTTATATGTTATGTTATGTTATGTTAAGCTTCATTAGGTAGGTAACATTGGGTTATTATCGAAACTATTATTAATAAATGTATATTACCTCAATCGTGTCCTTCCTAATCAACAATTCTCTATTCAGCCAGCCCGAACTCACAAACACCAAGACGCCTAGTTAATGTCGAAAAATCAAGGTGTACAGTAACTAATACCCAACGGAAAGGTTACGCCATTTGCATACGATCACACAGAAAGCTGGCTTTATCTAAGACCTGTCTTTGGTAAGGATAGTTAAGTTAGGTTAGATTAGATTAAATTAGGTTAGGTTAGGTTATATTTGTGTAGGTTAAGATAGCATTAAGGTATTTAATCCTCGGGCAAAATAGGCTGGTCTAGTAGCTAAAACCCCTAGATATGAGTTCACATGTTTCAACCAATTACGCATTGCTGCCTTGGTTGAAGGTTCATACTTATCATTACCCCTAAATCTTTCTCACAGTCGGATGTCTCTATATCAACGTGGTTCATCTGATAGCTTGTTTCCTTATTCACCTTCCCTAGAGACTAGATTAAGTACTCTCACCGTGCAGTCACGTCATTAATACGTCACTGTAACCCTTCCTCACCTGTACAGTAAATGTGTTTAGGTATCTATGTTTGTATGTACTAGACTTTGTTTTTGTTTTATCTTTGGTGGTGATGCTTATAGTGGTAGTGGTGGCGGTGATGGTTGTAATTGTGGTGGGGCAAGGACTGTGCCCTAACCCATCAGAGAGAGAGAGAGAGAGAGAGAGAGAGAGAGAGAGAGAGAGAGAGAGAGAGAGAGAGAGAGAGAGAGAGAGAGAGAGAGAGAGAGAGAGAGAAGGAGGGAATCATTCTATTTTCATTTATTGTATTATCGTTATTATTAGTTACTAGTACTATTATTCAGGTGGAACAGGTTAGGGTGGAGATTCTTCAGGTGATACGGCCTCAGTTCACATGGTATAGTCGGCCTCAGTTCACATGGTATAGTCGGTTCCACACGGTTTTGGCGAGGGCCTGCACACAACACACACAGTCAACACTTGTTTCCATTCTTTTCGAGTTAAAATTGTCACTGTATATTAGTCGTGGTGAGTTGATCATATAAGATATAATTAAGGCTAATGGTTGTCTCCTGCAGATGCTTCACCAAGGGCGGCAACACAGTTTGAGGACGAGTACTTCTCACCTCTCATGTCCGCCTACCGCAATGCTGCTCTCACACCCTCCTACTCCATCACCCCTAAGCATAGGTTAGTACACACACACACACACACACACACACACACACACACACACACCTGGAGACTCAAAGGGTGTAAGTTTCCGTCGTTTAAGCCACCTAAAATATATGCAGATGGAAAATAGTGTTGGGTCATTACAGTAATACAGGATTGAGACGCACCAGATGTAACTTTTACTCATTCACTCAATGAGAAATGAGTTTGCTGTGTAGTTTAGTAAGTTTTGTCAGATCAAACCAAGACAGTAGAAAAATATACATACCAGTACCTATGGGGTTATTGTTTGTAAAATGTGAGATTGCCCTCAGGGACAATTTTAGATACTGCGCATGATATTACTGTCTGTATGTTTACAAAGGGAAAATCTTGTCAAACAAATCTGCTGACGTTTTTTAGGAAAGTCTTCGAGGTAGTAGATAATGACGAAAATTACGATGTTATTTACTTAGACTTTAGCAAAGAGTAACTCATCAGAGGCTTCTGAGAAAAGTTAAGGCTCATGGTATCGAGGGGAACGTCTTAAATTGGATAAAATCATGGCTCACCGATAGAACACAAAGGGTCAGCGTTGATGGTGTTAAATCTGAGTGGGGCTGTGTAACCAGTGGGGTTCCCCAGGGGTCAGTACTGGGCCCACTCTTGTTCATAATCTACATAAACGATCTAGATACTGAGATCAGCAGTGACATAAGTAAGTTTGCGGATGACACCAAAATAGGGCGGCAGATTAATTCAGGGCAAGGTGTAAATGCACTACAGGAGGATTTAAATAAACTGCAGGGATGGTCTGAAAAATGGCAAATGAAATTCAACACCAGCAAGTGCAGCGTACTTAATATTGGAAGAACAAATACTGTCAATGTATACAGCCTTAACAACATCAACCTAGAGAAGTCGACTTGTGAAAGAGACTTAGTGTAAGCCCGGACCTATGGCCTAGAAAACAGTGCGTTAATGTTCGAAATAAGGCAAACAGAGTATGAGGCTTTATGTCTAGAAGTGTAAGAAATATGAGTGCGGAAGCCATATTACTCAGAAGACGACAGAATTAACGCTTGTCACTAGTCGATGTCGGGAGGGAAACTTCCCTCCCCAGCACCAAGCACCATCTTGCAGAGTCTCCCACAGGAGACATAATCCAGCACACTCTTTAGCAGAACCTGCAGATATTCCCCAGTCCGAGAGTCATTGTCGAGTAACGTCACTATATTATTGTGTCCATACCAGTGAGTAAATAAATAATAAATAGCTGTACTTTGAATTGGTGTTTAGAAAATCCCCTCCAAGTATATATATATTAACAGGTAAATAACAAACCGGCCACGCTACCAAATCTTCCTCACTTTACAATCCTATAATTATAAATTCTTACTATTACCCACTAGCGTAGCTGGGGGCCCCCCCACTTTTGGCGGGCGGCACTTTTGGGTCTGCTCATCACCCATATCTGCAGCTACTGGAGACGTTAATCCATCCCTTTGTATCGGCGGCAAGTTAATCCTTGTCGTGTCTGACCTAACACCTGACCCACATCATCACGGCCACGTCATGAGCTACACCCTTGCTATGCGCCCCCCCCGCCACACACACAACCTGTAACCTGTTGAGGATTAAGGAAACAACTTCAAACAAGTACGCCAGTGAGCTCATGTGGTGTGGGTCAGGTGTTAGGTCAGACACGACGAGGATTAACTTGCCGCCGATACAAAGGGAAGGATTAACGTCTCCAGTAGCTGCAAAACCATGCAGTCTCGGGTCATATCAGTTCATGTACAGCCGACCAATCCACCAGTTACAAGCAATTCACTTCAGTTCTGCACAAGTCTCCATCGTGACAGTTATTTACTTCGTTGGAAGACATAATACTATAAGGTAAGAAATATTAAAGTATTGGTTAAAAAATATTGATGTGACTTTTGCTGCGGAACTGAGATTAAATATTAAGATTTTGTTTCACAGCATTCCGATTTTATACTACGACACTATCCTCACTGGGGTACAGACAAAAGCCCCCCGACAAAAGCCACCCAGACAAAAGCCCCCCCCGACAAAAGCCCCCCCGACGAAAGCCACCGGGGGGGGGGGGGCGGCAAACTCAAGGGCCGCCCCGGGCGGCACACACTCTAGCTACGCCACTGCTATTACCTTTTACTTAAGATCCCCCTCATTACAAAGATCATTAGGTTAGGTTAGGTTAGATTAAGTATAAGTTAGGTTAGATTGGTTTTGCTGTATAGTTCAGATATTGAAATAAAAGTATGGGTGAAGTTCAGATACGAATATATTATAACTTACATTTTACACTTATAGTAAAGTAAATAAGTAAAGTAAGTAGAGTTTGTTATGTAAGTCTCCCTCTAACACACTACTGCCTCACCCTTACCCCCTCTTACACACTACTGCCTCACCCTCACCCCCTCTAACACACTACTGCCTCACCCTCACCCCCTCTAACACACTACTGCCTCACCCTCACCCCCTCTAACACACTACTGCCTCACCCTCACCCCTCTAACACACTACTGCCTCTACCCCTCACCCCCTCTAACACACTACTACCTCACCCCTCTCCCCTAACACACTACTACCTCACCCCTCACCCCCCTCTAACACACTACTGCCTCACCCTCACCCCTCCTAACTTTTCTGCCTCACCTCTCCCCTAACACACTACACCTCACCCCTCACCCCTCCCCTAACCCCACCCTACTGCCTCCCTCACCTCCTCTAACACACTACTGCCTCACCCTCTCTAACACACTACTGCCTCACCCTTACCCCTCTAACACACTACTGCCTCACCCTCCACCTCTAACACACTACTGCCTCACCCTCTCCTAACGCACTACTGCCTCACCCCTCACCCCCTCCTAACACTACTGCCTCCACCCCTCACCCCCCTCTAACACCTCTGCCTCTTCCCCTCACCCCCCTCTAACACACTACTGCCTCACCCTCACCCCTCTTACACACTACTGCCTCACCCCTCCCACCCCCTCCTAACTTTCTACTCCACCCCTCACCCCCCCTCCTAGCCACACTACTGCCTCCACCCCCTCCCACCCCTCTAACACACTACTGCCTCACCCTCACCCCCTCTTTTCCTACCTCACCCTCACCCCCCTCTAACACCTGCCTACCTCACCCACCCACCCCCTCTAACCCCTACTGCCTCACCCCCTCACCCCCTCTAACCCCTACTACCTCACCCCCTCTAACACACTACTGCCTCACCCCTCACCCCCCTCTAACACCTCTGCCTCACCCCCCTCTAACACACTACTACTCCTCTCACCCACTCTAACACTACTGCCTCACCCCTCACCCTCCTCTAACTTTTTCTGCCTCACCCTCCACCCCCTCTAACACACCTACTGCCTCACCTCACCCTTACCCCCTCTACACACTACTGCCTCACCCTCACCCCCTCTAACACACTACTGCCTCACCCTCACCCCCTCTAACACACTACTGCCTCACCCTCACCCCCTCTAACACACTACTGCCTCACCCCCTCTAACACACTACTGCCTCACCCTTACCCCCTATAACACACTACTGCCTCCCCCACCATATACTTCTCTCCCACAGGTTCAGGTCAGGTGAGGTGCCCACTTTTCTCCTGTGGTCAGAACCTTTCAACGGGTGGTTTTGGGAGTCTCAGTTAACCCACATCAAGAAAGGCCTATGTCCTCAACCCTGTAACGTCATCTTCAACGTGTCCCAGGTACAGTAATCTAGAGGTAGACTAGTCTGGTGATAGAGTAGTCTGGAAGTAGATTAGTCATAAGGTAAAGTAGTCTGGAGGTACATTAGTTATAAGGTAGAGTAGTCTGGAGGTACAATAGTCTGGAGGTACAGTAGTCTGGTGGTAGAGTAGTCTAGAGGTACAGTAGTCTGGTGGTAGAGTAGTCTAGAGGTACAGTAGTCTGGTGGTATAGTAGTCTGGAGGTACAGTAGATTGGAGTACAGTAGTCTGGAGTTACAGTCGACTGGAGTACAGTAGTCTGGAGGTACAGTAGTGTGGATTACAGTAGTCTGAAGTACAGTAGTCTGGAGTACAGTAGTCTGGAGGTACAGTAGTCTGGAGTACAGTAGTCTGGAGTACTGTAGTCTGGAGTACAGTAGTCTGGAGTACACCCTTCGCTTGGCTGGGAATCTTTTACAGCGCTGCCTACATCGCTTGGGGAGACCGGGTGCACTGTTAAAGGTGGAAGTGGAGGCAACTGCACATGTATAATTGAATTAAATTATGCGGTAATTACTCATCTGGGCTGCTCTTCACACACAAACATGCACATATACACACGCACACACATACAACACGACACATCACAAACACGCACATCGAATGTTTATTTATCAGACCAAAGCATCCAGGCCAGACATAGACTTAGCAGTAACCAGGGGAGCACGTGTTCACCCAAAGGCGGTCAAGGTCACGAAGGGAACCAGAATTCTCACTGCCACTCGATTAGCTTAACCCGGCGTCATGACCTTGTTAATTCAAGGCACTGCTATCCAACCAGCACTTCTGTTCCCTGACCTAACAGCCGGTCTAGACACACCCAGATTAGTGTTAATTAAGAGAGGTCATCTGCCGGCTGGAGATCTCCAATATAAAGGTCTTGCAGCTCCTTCCATGAGGATTATTCTTGCAATCGTGAAGGGCCAGCAACACAAGTCCCCAGTCCCGGTCGTTGTCTGGTCGAAGAGGTCGTCACTGGGGGGGTGTAACGAGGTCTCAGCCCGGTCCATCGGCGGTGTGCTACCCTCTTATGGTGTAAATGGGAGTGCTGGCTGTGTAGACGGTAGTAGTGCAGTGATCCTGAACCTCTCTAACGATCGACTTTGTGGAAGTGCCCATTTTACTTGTTAGGTAATAGGAATATACCATAGTCTATTATATATTGTGTACGAACCCCATTACCCCCCCCCCCCCGGTTGAACTGGTAAAATAAAGCTGTAACACGCATTTGTGTTTAATATACTACACGTGTGCTGAGCCTGTGTTAATATATATTTTTTAATTTTATATAATATTATCTTCACCCTCTCGGGCCACGCTACCTACTTTCCTCACTCTACGACTCTACCACTATAAACTCCTACCTTACCTCTTCATATGAGATTTAACCAGTGGCGGCTCGTGAAAAATAAAATGGAGGGACTGCAAGCCTCACACAACAGTAGGATACACAAATTTGACCTACCTCAGGTATGAGTTGTAGTTGATGTCCACGAATTCCCAGGGCATGGTAGTAGTGTTGGTGGTAGAAGGGATGGCCGAGGTGGTGATGGACCAGTATTAATTGAAAATAAAGTCCGCGTGTCTGCTCTTCGATGTAGCAAAATTGTTTATTACTATTTCATTAAAATCCTTTATTTCTGTTATCATTTTATTTTCAATGGATATCACTGCTAAAGCAGACAGTCTGTCATTCACCATTGTGTTTTGCAACTGAGAGCTTGTATGCTGTGTCAATCTGAGCTGCAATGTTCACTTTACCCAGCAACGATAAATTAATCATGTTATTCATATGTTTGGCTGACTGCTCATGTTTCACTATTTTCTGTGGCAAATGCCTCAAGTCAGTCACACCACTTTTCGTCCATGCCGAGTCCCCACCAAACAATAAGCATGGAAAGCAGAATAAAGTATTTGCCTCGTCACAACCACAGAGCCATTCACATTTCTGATAAACACTGATGTTAAACTGGCGTGTATATTCTTTGTTCCTGCTTGTACTGTTCTGTTGAATGGATAAAACTGGTGTAGGTCTTCCTCTTGCTTTGATTTCAGTCTTTTCATTTAATGTCAGCTGGGAAAAGTTGATGTTTTGCAAATACTTCACTCGATTTTCCATCGTCAAAGGGTAATTAAAGAAAGCACGATTTAACCACACCGCCCACACGCAATGTAAACACGAGACTGAGCTGCTTCAAGTGCAGCGGCGGCGGCGATAACAGACATGAATCGTACAGCATTGACAGCAACTATGAAAGTAACTTAAATTTTGGTCTGATTTTAATGAAAATGCACTTAGCAACGTATTGAAAATAATTAAATAACATATAAAATGATATATTTGTTGGTAGTGTATTATTCAGCTGTCTCTCTAAAGGAATCATACGCCTGGCAGTGAGTGTCTGGAGGGACTGCAGCTCTGCAGCCCTATGGACCCCCGCCACTGGATTTAACCTCTTTATACACACATAACACAACGCAACGCAACACAAAACACACACAAACCATAGTGACATAGTCAACTAATGGCCAGAGAAATTGTATGGGAAAAGACATGAACGTTATCCGTCATCCTGGTGACAGTTGCATGAACTGAACCTCAACTACCTCGTCACCACCCACCCAACCATCAATGGTCAGTGCCGGCCCAATGATCCTCACCTCTCGCCCTCCGTCCACCCTCTACCAATTTCTACTGCTATAACTACAACTTTTTTTATTTTTGGAATTATAGCCTCCAACCTCCTCTCACAGCCATGCCTTCACCATTCTCCTAATACAAAAGTACCTACCCTACCACTGCTATTATAACTAATAATAATAATAATAATAATAATAATAATAATAATATTAATAATAATAATAATAATAATAATAACAATAATAATAATAATACCCTGGTACACAATATTCATATTAACTATATTATTTATGGGATATGCTGGTTTAAACTTACACTGCACGTTATATATAACAAGACTGTAACTGATGGTTTCAAGATGCACAACCCTGTACCCAGAGTAGTATAGTCCAGTGTTCGTGTTACAGATGGCTCGTGTCGACGCCGTGGTGGTGTACCTACGAGGTGTACCAAGTAGGGGGAGGGTGTTGAACCAACTGGCGCCCCGGGATCCTACCCAGCCCTGGATCGTCTCCACCTTCGAGGCGCCGCCCAGAGCCAACAGCATCCACCACATAGAATACCGCTCCCTTAATGGTGTCTTCAATCGCACGATGCTCTACCGCAGAGATTCTGACGTTATGGTGCCTCATGGATTCATTGTGCGTCGTGATGAGGCAACGCTGCTGCCTGCGTCTTGGCGTGTCCCTCCCCCGTCACACCGCGGGGACTGGCATACACGTAAACCTATTGTCGCTTTCATCTCCAACTGCAGGGCTAAAAGCGGCCGTCTGGCGTATGTACACGCCCTCCAAAAACATATCCCTGTTGATGTCTACGGCCATTGTGGGCCTCTGAAGTGCGGCAAAACAATGTACGTTTACCATCTTTACGACCCGACAAAATATGAATGTTTTAGAAAAGCTGGCGAGACTTACCTCTTCGTTCTAGCATTTGAGAACTCCCTTTGCACTGACTACGTCACTGAGAAGGTTTACAATCTCCTGTTTTACCCGATGGTGCCCATAGTTCTCGGCTCAGCTAACTACTCAGCTCTCCTCCCACCTAACTCCTACCTAGATGCTCAACAGTACACTCCAGAACAACTCGCAGCCAAACTCAAGTTCTTGGCGAATAACCCTGAGGTATTTCACATTTGTTTATTCTGAGTATGTTGGTGACTCACCTAAACTTATTAATCCAGTTTGTCTGTCGGTGTCTTTACTATGAGTGTGCCTGAGAACAGGATATATATTACAGGAGTACCAGAAGTACTTGGCCTGGCGAGATTACTACCAGCCTTCCACAACTGGCGAGGAGCGCACATTGTGTCACCTGTGTGTTCGACTACACGACCCCAAGTTTTACGAACATCAGGTTATAGAAGAATTTTATGACTGGTTTATTAACAAATCTGAACCTAAAGATGGCCACGGAAAATGCCAGTAAATGAACAGATACCTACAACAGCTGAGGCTTCTATCCTATCTCATTCGTTCAGGTTACATTTTTATAGATGGACTACGAGTTAAATATATTCATTATTTTGTGTCATGGCTAAAAACATTGTGTCCTGTATTATTATTGTTATTATGTATCAAAAATTAACACATTAGAAACAAAATAATCCTAAATTTTATCCACACCAACAGAATAACAATGGAAGGTCATCAACAGAGACTAAGGAAGGTCATTGTCAACAGAGAAGAAAGTGAGTTACTGTACATTCTCAAAGAAAAATGTGGGGATCCCCAGAATTGCTGTCTCCAGTCCCCACACTGAGAAGGGGACGCTACAACGTGTCGTATGTTTTAATTGTAAATTTGGGGATGGGTGCGGTTGGTAAGATTGACTGAGATTGAAAATCCACGTTGGCAGTGTCTCCACTTAACCAAGCCCATTTGTTCCTCTGGCTTCCTACATACTTAAGCACTATTGTGAGATCGTTTTTGGCCGTATCTTTGCATTTGTTTATTTTTTATTATAAATTTTATTTACTATGAATTATTATTATTATTGTTAAACAAAAGTTCCTTAGCAAGAAATATACATGCATGTTAAAAGAAAACAGTTTTCTCTTCTCGGATTGTTGCAAAATTAAGTACGTGGCAATGGAGATAATAGATAGATAGATAAATAGATAGAGAGTACTAGCTTACTTGTGAAGAGAGAAACAGTACTAGCTTACTTGTGAAGAGAGAGAGAACAGTACTAGCTTACTTGTGAAGAGAGAGAGAACAGTACTAGCTTACTTGTGAAGAGAGAGAGAACAAGACTAGCTTATTTGTGAAGAGAAAGAACAGTACTTGCTTACTTGTGAAGAGAGAGAGAACAGTACTAGCTTACTTGTGAAGAGAGAGAGAACAAGACTAGCTTATTTGTGAAGAGAAAGAACAGTACTTGCTTACTTGTGAAGAGAGAGAGAACAGTACTAGCTTACTTGTGGAGAGAGAGAGAGAGAGAGAGAGAGAGAACCTAGTATCAGCTTACTTGTGAAGTATTCTGCTCTTACGGCCAAATTCATTGATGACCACATCGCAATTCTGTTCCACATCTTTGTGGATAACAGTTCAAGGAAATAAGTTGCAAAGGAGGAGTAGTAGTGGTGAGAAAAAGGAAAGGGGACCATGGGCGAGTGCCCCCCTCCCCACCGCCCTATATACGCCACTGCCGGAAGCGTCAATATGGTTTCGTGACGCTGTATTCTTCTCCTAATATATCATAAGAGATTGTGATAATTATATTTTCCTGAGTTTTATGTATTATACATCATAGCAATGCAAAATGCACAATAAAATTTGCTTATTGCTCAAGGATTTATCACAATTTGCAGTACAGTATTTCGGAGTCGTCCAGCTTTCTTGATAGTTTTGTTTAAAAAATTGCTTTACCGTTGAAAGAGTACTATTTATTTTCATGTGATTGGGCGCCGTAACAAATATCCACTAATTACAGCTATAAAAGACTTTTTATGTAAACATTAACACAGAAGGACTTATGAATACATGTTTTTGCTTTATATATATATATATATATATATATATATATATATATATATATATATATATATATATATATATATATCCACAAAGGTAACGTGAAGATAAATCTTGTTAAAACTCACAGGAAAAGGTAGATACTGGAGTGAAAGTGTGTTCCCTTGGCATGATTATCTATTAGGTGCTGTGTGGATACTGCATACTAAACTTTCGGTACACAGCTGGGTGAACTACGACCCCCGGGGATCAAACCACCGACCCCTGGAGCAGGAGGCGATCACTGTATCCATTCGACAATCGTGGCGTGACCACCCAAGGGGACAGACGTGCTCATATAGGTGCTCTTGACTTCCCGATCGTCCCACAAAGGTTCCCCTCAGCTGGCAAGTTTTGCCAGCATGGGGGGTCGACATAAACGTCCCAGAAGAGGCTCTCTCATAGACGCAGACATCTCTGATACTGATGCCATTACCAACTCGCCTGGTCATACTGAATCCAACACCCTTCAAGAGTCAGACCCCAGTGATTATGAACAGTGACGGTAATGTTTCTATGGGAAACGCTAGTCACAGTGGAAACACCAATGCCATGGACCCTATCACCCTACCCTCTGCCAAACAAACAAGTAAGCTGAATCTCCACTTCCCCAAGGACTCTCTGAAAACTGTAGAGGAACGCTTTAATTGGATGATGAAGTACTGCAGACAGCACGGTTTCAGCATTGAATTCCGACAAGGTAAGAACCGGAACTTTATCAAGTGTCAGACTCTGAGTATAACAAGACGGATCTTGCATGAAGAATATTTATATATATATATATAGGAAGAATATTTAGTAAGAGAGTAAAAGAGAGGAAGACTTTGGTAGCGTGGCCGATGTTGGTTATTTAGTCTGGACTTACACTTTCTTATCTATATGTCAATACACATCTATTACGTTAAGCACTGAACATATTTCTAGAAAAAATTCGCGCATACCACGACGAGAGACATTTACTTGAGCTGTAACGGTGACACACTAGGACACTTTTCACGCTACTATGCAGGAACTCCTTATCACGCACTTTCGAACAATACTCAAACAACGAGCCAGGTGTTATGGCTAAATGAGGGAGGGCATGGGTTTACGTTAAGTACACTGTTACCAATAACAAGGGACGAGGAGGGCGTGAGTTAACGTTATAGTACGCTGCCACCAATATAATGAGCCACCGCTGCCACCAATATAATGAGGCGAGGAGGGCGTGGGTTAACGTATAGTTCGCTGTCACCTATAACAAATCGGATCTTGCATGAAGAATATTTATATATATAGGAAGAATATTTAGTAAGAGAGTAAAAGAGAGGAAGATTTTGGTAGCGTGGCCGTGATAGTTATTTGATGATGGATTTACACTTATCGTATCTGAGGCAGGACGGGTGTGTTGGGGTCGGTAGGATTGCGGGGCAGGAAGAGGAAAAGCTGCATGCTTGGGGAGCAGAGCTGCTCTAGGGTGTCTAACCTGTGGTGTAGGGACTGTAGCTGTAGAGCCGATGAGAGCTGCCTCCGTGTGGATAAGCCAGTCTTCAATGTTGTGATTGAAGACTGGGAGAGTGATCAGTTTCTCCTCCATCCTGTGTGAGTGCGATTCTCTGGGGGTCACCATTTGTGGGGTTTCGAGATGTTGTCTCACACTCAGGATGGGTTGGAGAAAGGAAACTCACAATGCGCTCTCTGTATATATATTGTATTGGATGTACAGTGCAGCTTGGTGCTGGGAAGTTGGTGCATGGTTACAAGCGTGGAGTAGAGAGCTGGTTGGTGAGGAGCGTGCTCAGAGGAGGTGTTGCTGCTGCGTGGCTGTAGGTAGAAGAAGAGGGCTGCTGGTCACGGCGAGGTGAGGTCTTATATAGCGGAGGTAGGCGTGGCTTGATTGCTGACCTCCGCTTTGTTAGGCGGCGCTAGTAGCCGACCTTAGACCACGAGGCGTTGGCTGGGGAATTCGAAAAGGGATCGGCTAGTCAGCGACAAACGGCAGTTGTAGTTGTAGGGGAAATTTCCACTACGGTATGTAGTCTACCGAGCTGGAGTTGTGTCTACCAGGATATTTACACTGTAGCATCCATGAACCTAACTAACCTAGGTTATGTTATGTTAATGGATGTTTAGTGTAAATATCCCGGTAACACAACTCCAGCTCGACCAATACTAAGTAGCTCCAGCTCTGTAGACTGCATACTATAGTAGCTACAGCTCTGTAGACTGCATATTATAGAAGCTCCAGCTCTGTAGACTGCATACTATAGTAGCTACAGCTCTGTAGACTGCATACTATAGAAGCTCCAGCTCTGTAGACTGCATACTATAGTAGCTCCAGCTCATAGGCTGCATACTACAGTCAACCCTCGCTTTCCGCGGTCCCACTTTACGCGTTTCCACGTTTACGCGGTACCCTGCCGAACACGGAATGCTCACTTTCCGCGGTGTGTGTACCCTTTTACGCGGAGAGCGGCGCGAGCAGGGTGCGCACAAGGTCGCCCAGTCATCAAAACATTACCGAGTTCTTCACCCGCCACCCACCACAGCCGGCCCAAGTCAGTGATAGTGATAATGATAGTGAGGATATGGACTTATATGGACTTTGAGGGGTTTGACAAAGAGGCCCTGCAAGCCTCTGTGGTGGATAGTGATACAATTGATACAAGTGATACAGGTGAGGGCCAATAATCTGCCCTCTGCCTCGGAACCAACCCCCCATCCCCGTGTGCCCAGCCATCTTTTCTACTAATGTAAGTGTTAAAAAACCTAATATTATTGATATTTCTCTTAATTATTAATTGTGTGTGCATACCATCATAAAATTAAGAAGTTATTTTTACTACAACGTAGGTATTGTGTCTGAAAAAGTGGAGTTTGGGGGTCGGCCCGGTCTCTATTTCAATTAATCCCATATGTTATGTTGTTCATTTTACGCGTTTCTTACTTTACGCGGGCGGCCGTGGGTTCAATTGACCGTGTAAAGTGAGGGTTCACTGTACGTATAGAAGCTATAGCTCTGTAGTTTGCCTACTATAGTAGCTCCAGCTCTGTAGACTGCATATTATAGAAGCTCCAGCTCTGTAGATTGCATACTATAGTAGCTCCAGCTTTGTAGACTGCATACTGTACTATAGAAGCTCCAGCTCTGTAGACTGTATACAGTGGTCCCTCGGTTAACTAGCGTCTCGGTTAATGAGATTTCGGTCCACCAGCTGTAGTAGTCCGCCAGTACAGTAATCGGTTCTAGGGCTTATATTCCTTACCATTTTAGTAAATATCAAGAAGTTTACAGTATTCAATAATTTTAAAAGTTGAATATTAAATTTTTTAGTAATTTTAACAATTATTGAACATAATTGAAGGTAAAGAAACTTGTTTCTGGCGTGCCATCCAGCCTGGCAACACACCAAACAGGCTTTTGTCTCTCTTTTCAGTGGAGGTAACATCTTGCTTGAGACTCTCTTCAACTAATTGCTTTTTTTCTGTGTTTCCAAGCAAATTATTGGTCATTTTGAAATTTATTTTACATATTGAGAATATATAATGCAGTGCAGTGTTGATTTAAAGAAAATAATCTTCAATTACAGCAAAAGAACTAAAATTTTATGGGTGAAATGGCGCCATGAGGTGACTTCTCTTCCACCCCAATGCCTTCTCTTCTACCTTCTCCTCCACCCCCATTCCAATTCCCATCATCATCATCATCATCATCATCCAGGAGCCTTCTACATACACACCTCAAAGTAAGTGTACTTTTCTACCCTTTTTGTTGAATTTAGGCAATTTTCGGTGAGCTGGAACCAATTACCCAAAAACCCATTGAAACTATGGTTTCGGGAAACGAGTTTTCGGTTAACGAGCAACCTTCTAGAACGGATTGTGCTCATTAACCAAGGGACCACTGTACTATAGTTGCTACCAAAAAACAATATCAGCATCTATTTGGATTTTTTCAATCATATTTTGTTGTCTGGTGGTGGTGATGATGTAGCCTTTGTCATCTGGTGGTGGTGATGTAGCCTCCTGTCACCTGGTGGTGGTGGTGATGTAGCCTGTCATCTGGTGGTGGTGGTGATGTAACCTCCTGTCACCTGGTGGTGGTGGTGGTGGTGGTGATGTAGCCTCAGTCATCTGGTGTTGGTGGTGATAATGTAGTCT